TTTTAAAACTCTACAAGCATGTTTGAACTTAAAGCAAGATTTGCCTGGCAGCAGTACTGACAATGTAAGACAGGGTGAAGAGAGAGTTGCAAGAGTTTCTTGACAGCTTTGTACTAGGGTTGCCAGAGTGAAAATTATACCTTAAATGGTTTTATAGAAAATGTGATTCCAGGTGATGTTGCTTGTCATGCAACCAACAGGCAACCCCCTACTGAAATTCCCCCTTCTACACAACCATTAAAGATACAGGAGTCCTTTGTGCTTTTCACACTTACAACCCTACTCTAAACACATTGCTTTTATGTATGGAAGCATCAGGATTGTGACTTCCATACTCCTGTAGATAATTTATGAATTGTATTTATACTGTTCCAATTCATAATAGCCTCTATGTATGTCTCTCTTCTGTTACAGGTAAGTTCACAAAAGTAATCAGAAGAAATTTGTCATTGTTGTGTGCCTTCAAGTAATTTCCAACTTATGATGTTCCTAAGTCAAAGCTATCATGGAGTTATCTTGACAAGATTTCTTCAGAGAGGGTTTGCCATTGCCTTCCCCTGAGGCTGAGAGCATGTGACTTGCTCAAGGTCATCCAGGAGATTTCATGGCTGAGCTGGGAATCAAACCTTGGTCACCAAAGTCATAGTCCAACACTCAAACCACTACACCACACTGGCTGTCATTAGAAGAAATACTTATTAAAAATAATAATGTATGAGCCCAGTATTCTATCCTGATAATCTCTCTCAGTATATATAATTTTTCTTTTGGTAAAGAAATGTACAAAGGGATTCTGTTAATACAGTTTATTGGCACACGTATTGGCAAAGCATACATAAAATACAGTTGTATCATATAACACACCGACTTACTGTATTTTTTTTAACATGATGGGTTGAACATATTAATATGTAAATGAAAAATTAGTTTTGTTTATAAAGTTTCACATAAATATACTGGAATCAAAAAAAATAATTAGTTTGGAGGTCTTTACAAAAGTATTATACAAGAAATATAATGTGAAAACAAACAACAAATGACAATAAAACACAAAAATTAGTCTTTGTTTAAACTGCTCACAAAATTAATGGATTACATGGCTTTCAAAATGCAGATCAACAGCAATTTTACAAAGCGTAAACTCTCATAGGGAATGGATGCCTTTCTTCACATAAAAATATTTATTATGTCTGATGAAAGAAAAAGACATTGTCTCAGTGCTTTTGGAAAGGAAAAGGAAACTATTCATAAGAATCAGTTACAATGTCATTTTAAAGCAGTGGACCCTTGAAATGGCTAGAAATAGAAGAAAAAAAATGGTGGGCAGCACCAATAACTGGAGGAAGCAAGCCAAGAGGTAATTTCAGCATTTGTTAGGGAACAGAGAATTAAAGAGCCAAGCAAAGTAACTTAGGACGTTATCACATGGGGGAAATCTGCTGGTTAATCCACACAAATCCCAAATAGAAACTGGATTTGTGCCTCACGATTTCACACGACGTCACACAGAAACTGGACAGAAACTGGACAGAAACTGGTGTTATCCGAGATCTTTTGAAATTCGGTAATTTTGAGAAAATGCATTTGCAAAATTATGTAATTTCGCATTTACTGTAATGTGAAAAGCAAATGCGCATTTGGGAGCATTTCCCTGCTTTTCCCATGGTTCCAGCGAGCATTCCTCTATCTGCACATGTGCAAGAAGATCATTTCTAGTTCATTTATGGACTTTTCTCACTTGTGTGTGAATGTCAAATGCGCTTACTGTAATTTCGCAGTTAAGGTAATTACGTTTGAAAGCCATTTGCAGAATCAAGGTTTATTTTCGGTTTATTTTCAGAATGCCTCATTTCCACTTTATTATCGCTTTCTGGCCCACGTGTGATAACGTCCTTAGAACGGTAGGGCAGAAACCTCTAAAACCATGAGTTGCAGTCCTGCAACAACCTATGTATACTCGTAATCCAAGATGACTCCCCTTCCCAGTCCAGTAACCAGAGTCAAGCATGCTTCACTTTAAAATAATCTGAAATCATCATATTTTTTTTGAAGGGGCAGTGAAGACCAAGTCCCCTCCTTCACTCATAGTGGTTACTCATAGTGGGCTTCCTTGATTTGAAGCAGCAACACAGGATCCTCTGGCTGCTCTGCATTGGTTCCACTGAATCAGGTTCATGATAATCTGCCAATATTCTGAGTCTCACTGGGATTTTAAAGGGTTTTTAATTTTAAGAATTACACTTAGTAATGGAATTTATAATGTTTCATTGTTCATAAAGCTCACATTTGTTCATTTCATGAGGCATATGTTAGTAGTTCCTGCTACTGAAACATTCGTCACATAGACATCTTTGCTGGTCTCCAGAGGATAATCCCAAAGCCTTTAGACTACAGCTTTTCTTCATAATAAATGTCTTCCTGGAAGTGGTTGAAATTTTCTCTTTTCCTGACCCCAACCCTACCTTAAACTTTAAAATGGCTTTCCAGGAAAAAAAAAACACCCTTCAATGAGATAAATTAAAAATTGTTTATGAAAGGTCTGGGGTTTCTTAGCCACATTAGAGCAGAAACTTCAAGAGAAAGTTGAAAAACAAGATGTATTTCATTTGCCATGATTTATTTTATATTAATTTTTTTTACAAAAAAACCCTCAATAGATCCTGAGCACTGATGGTATGATATGGCCTTTCATAGGATAAGGGGGATCATAGCAGGGGAAAAGTAACTTCCACTTAAATGTTAGCATTAAGAAATTGTCATGAGGTGCTACTTACATATTCAGTTCTTTTCACTGAGGTCAGTGCCAGTATCATGTCATGTGCAAGGGCTTCCAAGATAACCACCTGGAAGCTTATAAATTATTTTTCTAACTTAAAAAAAGATAGCTGTACATCTAGAAATAGCTTCTATATCTGTGGAAAACTGGGAGGGTTGTTTGTTGTTTTTGCTTTTTGTAAAGAATGCTGGAGATAGTAAATATAACCCGCTGTTATAAGCGACAGTAGCTGCAGCTTCAGATAACTTATTGGGAAGCTTGTGGTGTTGGATTTTCAGACTTTGTCTCCTGGTTAGCAGGAGGTTTACTGTTCCATGGGCTGTTGTTTCCCAGTGCAGGTGAATTGTTGAAGTCTTCATCATCGTCCATGCCATTTGCTGCATCATATTGAGTGTTTTCTAGCCTTGTGATGAGCCGTTCATCTTCGTCACCAAATTCTCCACCCATTAGAGTTGGTTCCCCGACTACCATCACATCCTGTGAAAAACATCCAAGAAATGTTATATGTAGAAAGCTGAAGAAAGCCAAAGAAACAAACTATTTAACACAGTTATTTGTCTATAAGCATCCTCATATCATATGAGAAGAATACATGCAAGATTCTATCAATATGATGTACCTTTGCACTCTTCATGATAGATTTGCTTGAAACTAAAACTCACTGATTCTTTTTAATATGTAGAAACCTGTTTCAGGATTCTACTTTTGCATCGTGCTGACACTTAAATCCAAAACAAAAACAATGCTAATGAAAGAAAATGGGCATAAAAAGAGAATCCAGAGTATTTCATGGGAAAGGTTTTAACAGTTGCTTTTAACAATTGTGTGACCCTTTCCAGAATCAACAAATTGTTAAAATTTGTGCTTATAATTTTCTTTTCAGTCAGCCAAACTCAAGCCTATGACATAATCCATCTGAGAGTTCTACACAAGACCCTTCAAATGAACAGGTACCATTGTTCCTTATTGCATGGCTTCCAGTCATTTGAAGAGGGATTGTACAGAGGAACATTCAGATGGATTGTGAACAATTTTTTTTTGTTAATTTCATACCTGATTTCTCCTGCTATGGGTTGTAGCAGTTAAAGTGAATTTGATAAACACTACATTTAATGCACCAGTCATTTGAATATAGAAATCAGCACTTCTTATTTCTAACCAACCCACTTGACATTCCACTACTTAATTATGGTAATTAATTTAGGTAGAGGTTTTTTTTAAATAAAAACAATGTTCACATTGATTTGACAATTTGCATCACTAATTAAGTAATTAGCAAAAAAACTGATGATTGCCAACAAGCCCTGAATTTACCATCTGTTATTTCATAGTGCTTGTCACCTCTCTGTGTAAGCAACACTGCTGCCAATCTGTGCAGTATGAGGACCAATCTGTCCAGCTGGTATCATAAAAGGAAGACAGAATGCTAATTATAATTACACTGATGAAGCTAGCAGTTGTCAAAGCTGAAGAGGGCAAGAAGGAAAGGATTGGTCCCACGGCTGCTGCGAGTGCAAAGAGTCCTTTCACAAAGACATGCGCAGCACCACAAGTGCAATTGCACATCAGTGGCTTCCTGCTGATTCTTAGCCAGCAGGGGGTATGAAGAGAGAGTGCCAGACAGGAAAACCAGAGAGCTTTCTTGATCTTGCTGCTAAAAGCAGATCCACTGATCATAGCATTTGGGCAAAAGAATTTATCTATGGGCACATCTTTTGATACACTCTCTTTGGCAGGGCTTCCTGTGACAGGTTCCAAGAAAATGCAGCCCTGCTGGTGTTTTAATATGTATACATTGATTTAACAAGCCATTCATGGCTCCACAAAGGCCTGAGAATTGAAAAGGACCCATTTCTATCTATACAGTAATAAATGATGTGTTGAAAACAAACAACCTAATGGTGACTATAACCCACCTCTAACTTTGTCATCCTCAGCTGCCCCAGAGACTCTTGGGGCCATTCAGTACTACACAATCACAGCACCATCATTCAACTTTAATGGACATGGCTGCATCCTATGGAATCCAGGAGTTTAAACTCTCTGGCTGTTAATCCTAAATGTTCTGTTGTTGTGTGCCTCCAAGCTATTTTGGACTTATTGTGACACTAAGGCAAATCTATCATGGGGTTTTCTTGGCATATTTCTTCAGAGGGGGTTTGCCATTGCCTTCCTCTGAGACTGAGAGAGTGTGACTTGCCCAAGGTCACCCAGTGGGTTTCCATGGTTGAGCGGGGAATTGAACCCTGATCTCCAGAGTCATAGTCCAATGCTCAACCATTGCACTCCTCCTTAAACTGAAAATCTCAGGATTTTACAGAATGTTGTTATGGCACATGAGCATAGTGTGAGAGAGTCCCAGTATCTGAAATAACCCCACCTGATTCTCCCTTGCTGCTTTTTATGACAGAAGCACCCCTCAGTACATTTTTGAGGTTCCACCTTTCTTCCTCAAACCCTGCCACAAACTGCAACTTTCTCAAGAAGTGTTTAGTTTATGCTGTAGTCTGACTTCAGCTGAAATGAAGCCTAGGTATATATGATTCAGCCCTTTTTCATCTATGTATCTCCCCTCCCCTCCCCCCTTCTGTTTGAAATTTAGGGGGGATGCTGATGGGCGGCCATGGGCCGCCTGGGAAAGGGAGGACTGGGGCCGAGGCTGACCCATAATTCAGCCCCAATCCACTTTTTGGGGGACTGGGAAAGGAGCCAAAATAGCACTCCTTTCCCAGGTGGTGAAAATGGTGCACAAAGAGCTGCCATGCAGCTCTTTTGTGCCTCTTCCGTTGCAGCGTGTCCTGACACTGCACTGGGAGGACATCATCAGAACCCTCGCCGTGTGCAACAGTGCGCTCTCTGATGATGTCTTTGGGAAGGGGTTGGGGCACCCAGTGTGTGGCTATCCCTCCCCTTCCCTGGCTCCAAGATGGCACTTTGCAACGTCTGCAAAGCCCCTTAGAGTCCAGTCCGGCTGCAGCTCGTCCCCAGTGCACTTTGGCAGCCATTTTGAAACTGGGAGCTTTCTGATTTGAAAAAATAGCCACCGAAGTGCTCCGAGGGCCCGGGCTGCAGCCTGGCTGGACTTGCCCAGAAGCTTTGGTGGCAAAATCCTTGTGATTTTGCCTCCCAGCTGCCTCCCGAATCAGACTTCAATTCAGAGGAAGTAAGCCAGGCTATTAGAGCAGTGGGATAATCTCCATATGTAACTTTTGCCTAAATCAAATAGCTAGTCCCAACAAGAGGACACTTACTGAACTAATGAAACTAACATAAGTGTTCAAATTCTCATTGAAACCATGGGTCCAGTCCTGTTGGGACTAGCAACTGGATTTGGGTCTTTGTATGTCAAAAACATTCAATGTCCAGGGTTGTTTGGTTTTTTTCAAAATCTGTACTGTATCAGCTTGGAGGGAGATAATTAATAGGATCAAGATAGTGACACCAATGTGCAATTTCTTTCCAAAGCCAACAGTAGCCAAAACAGGGGAAGATTTTTTCCCCCTTTCTACCTCCTGCTATCCCAAAATTAATCACACCCCACAACAGACATGGGGAAGGACAGGACTATTTCCCCACCATACAATGACTGCCGTCACCTTGGTTAAGTC